TTTGACACATCGAGCCCAAAAGGTTTGTCATCACTGAACTGACTGGTATTAGTGGAAGGCAGGAATTATAATCTCTTTCCCACAACTGCAGCGGGACAATGTCAAGATGGTTCAATATAGCACAGTCTTTTGAAACGGTGACCGCACTATGCTAGAGGAACCTCCCTAGTGTGCAAATAGTCAGCTTCAGCTATGCTATTGGAGGCTGTTGCCTCTGAGTGGATGAGAAGTAAACAGAACAGAAGTCAAAATAATGGTACTCCTTTGGGATTTCTGAACTGTACACTATTTCATTCTGCTTCCCTCTGAAGTAAAGACTACAGAAGAAAAGAACCCATAAAGAAGGGCTGTCCTCCAGGCAAATGTCCATTAAGGTTCGGTGCTATTTTCCCTGTGCAATCAATTTGGACAATTAAAAATAAATGTCACTCAAGCACATAGCACCTCTCTTCTCTACATCTAACAGTAAGGTTGTTTTTTACAATCTGAAAGGAGCTCAATTTGTCTCCTTTCAGATTGTAACAGATCAGCTAAGATGGTTGCGTGACACTTTTGGTGGTACTCTTTGTGTTCCAATGCATGTTGAGAATACAAAAGAAGCAGACATTTACTTAAACTCTGGAGCACTTGTGTAAAAAGAGGCTGGAAGACTCCACAGAAAGAAAGCAAAAGAAAGAAAGGCTCACAAATGAAAGGTTAGAGGAGTCAAGTGGCATGTGCATTCCTTCCCAAAAGCTCCATTTTTGGCCTTACTTGGGGGAAGCATCATCAAGCAAGAAATTGAACTTTTCTTTATTGCTTGCCTTAACCACAGACAGAGAAAGCTCAAACACTGTATTATAGAAAGGCGCAACTTCAGAGGAATTCAACTGATATATTCACAATTCAAGTGTAGAAAAAAGGGAAACAGGATCTCTATTAGAAACAAGCATTAAAATATATTCTAATATTCAACTATATCTTACAATAATTCCTAATTGGTCTCAGCAGATACATTATCAAATCTAGAAATTAAATACCATGCATTATCTTTTATATCACCCACACACACATTGAAAATAGAATGAATCACCTGGTTACAGCCCAAATTTATCCCCCCTACTTTTTATTCATACTTTAATTCTGTGTGAGAGAGAACATAAATAAGTGTAGAGACCAACAAGAAATAAAATCAGTTAACGCCGGGGGAGTTAGAGGCAGAGCTCCAGTCTGCTAGTACGCTATAATTTTTTTTTCATGCGTCAAAACAGTCTGAGTATCCTCAGACACTGAACAGCCTTTCAGTTGTGTGATGTAGAATAATGTCCAAATTGTAGGCAGACAATGGAAAACAAGAAGCAAGTGTTTCCGATCATCGTGCCTAGTTATTTAAAAACACAAAAAGTAACAATCAGATTGTGTTGTAGGATTCATTAGTAATCCTGGTTTCAAACAATTTAGCAAGTGTTTTAATATACCAGGAAGATGTGGGAGGAGCTTAAAAGGCATTATCATTTGCATACTCCATTTTAAGAAACAGTAACTCTTGCAATCCAAAAGCTAGAGCTGTTCTGTAATCTAGCATGTAAATTTTCCTGGTAAGGAAAATGAAATGACACCCATAAAATTCTGATTAGTTTATATCAGGTTGTCTTGCCATACAATGTGCCAAGATATTTCTTTTGAAATGGCAAGGAGGCCAGCATCTGTTTAGAAACTGTTTTAGTAATGGACAAAATTAGCTTTCTGTTCCACCAAAACATCCAAGTGGATTAAAGCCCTCAAAAGATCTGCAAATATTGTTTGCCGCTGTTCATGCTAGAAGCCTAGAGCAGATGAGGCCACATTTAAGCAGTCTAAGGGTTCTACTATAGAAGTCCTTAGCCCTTCCCCAACCAGCTTGGTATCCCTTGTCTATTGGTGCTCTTTAAGGCTTCATTCAAATAAAACAAAGACATGAATAAAGACTTTGGGGACTAGTAACCAGTCTTATTCCATCTGCTCCAAGCCTTCAGAGCTACAGAGTAGGGCTAACCATATATGGGCTGCAATACTCCAAATGACCACTAGATATAAGCGGAGTTTTCTACATTTCTTTGCTGTCATCTAGTGGTCTTCGCTATTTGGGCAGACCAGATATAGCAGCCCCGAAGAGAGAAGGGGTAGCAAAACCCAGGCTCTTGGGTTACCTACTCTGACGCTTCATCTGTGCTAAGTACTTTTTTAGCATGCCAAAGACAAAACCTGGTTTTTGCTTAGGGGTTTTGTTAGCCATATGTGTATATCCTTCCATCTGTACTCAGTATGAGCCTAGAAGCACTCCAGGCAAGAAGCCATGGTTGTAGCCCACATTCTAATCTGAATGGAAGTGCCCACTAAATCTATAAATGCTATTTTATTAAGATTCTTTCAAAGATTTTAGCTTCTCAGATAGGCAAACTCCCAGTAGTATGAGGACGGAGTGCAGTTTTCCAAGAACACTGTTTCTCTTGCAAAATTTAGGTTAAACAAAAATCATGGTAATATCACTGCTGTGATGTTTGCTCCTGTCTCATTGATGATACCGGAATGAATTATAGCATGACCCTGGAGGAAATATAAAATTCTTTCCTCTGATTCCCTAGTCAGAGGCTGAAAGGCAGCAGTGGAAATGATGTGAAGGAATAATGCAAGTAACTGAGTTGCATACTTTGAGGATTTGCATTACAAGGTGGATGTTGTTGAGTTGCATCACAGATTAGGATAAAGATGAGGGGAAATTGTTTTATTGTTATTGTTAATTATGTATGACAACATATGGCCATGCACAACTGATTGAAATGACAAAAATGCTTATCTATTGATTTCTCTGACTGATGGAAAGTAGCAAGCAACTATCAGCTGCAATAATCTTCAAAACAAACTCTTCAGAGCTATTTTGGGTCTTTGTTCCCCATTAAAAATATTACCCCACCAGAATGTAACTTACCCTCAACAGGCAAACTAATTAACATTGTCTCCTGCAACCTTATCTAGCTCTTATGTTATGCATGGGTTTCTTGCTTGCTTGCTTGCTTGCTTGCTTGCAAGTGGATGCATCTCCAAACAAAGCACTCCATCTTACATTAAAAAAAATATATCTTGAGACATGTGGGCTATCTTGGAAATGAAGATGGTATTAGAGGTTTTGTAGCATGTCAGCTTCCCATTTCTTATTTTTAATTGAAAGATTATGGGCCTTTCTCCATTTGCGTCAAACCATAGAACAAACATGCCCTGCCAACTTCTTTGTTCTGCTATGTCCCCATGACTGACTGACTATTTATTTAATTAATTAATTAATTAATTAATTTGTATGCCACCCATCTCCCGCAGTGGGTGACTCTGGATGGCTTTGCCTTCATCTCATCCCCAGCATGGATGGAAAAAACAGATGTATTGTAAATCCTAGAAAAACAAGCTTGCAAAAATTGCAAGAACATTCTCTTTATTTGTTGTGGTTAGATACTACATCTGCTATGATTCAGGAGTGGGATGGATCTACCTTTGCATCCTCCCCCAACTTTCCTCCTGATCTATTAAAATATAATTTGCCACTAGCCATACAGGCTTGGGATGATACGTTATAGTTCAATGCATCTGGAGAGAACCAGATTGAGGAATGCTTTGCTAGGACATGAGAAAAACAGATATTGCACTTATATCCTTTCCAGCATGAGATGGAAAATAATCCAAAGGCAAGATCAGCCTGGTTTATAAATCTTAAAAATGCAATTTCAAGTTCTCTTGAAAGATCTTGACACTTGCTCCAAGGTATTTCTATCTTATTACAAGAAGTGTCCTTAGAATACTGACAGAAGCTCATCAAACTATCTATGCTTCTTGGAAAAAGAATGATAGGACTCCCACAATTTTTCACAAGTCAGAACTATTCTAAGTGGAAACAGTTGGAAGAATTAATCTTTTCTGGTTTAACACTGAAGTACTTTAAATATATTTGTGCCACAGATAATCATTAAAGCAAACTTTCACAAGTAACCACAAGAAATGAATATACCGTTTTTCATCATCTAGGAGAAACTTTTCTAAAGGGCAACAAAGAAGTGTGATAAGGTTGAAATAGAAACAGATATAGAAATTATACACTTTTCTCTAGTGCCTCTTTCCTGATCTACCATTTACTTGATGAATCATTTGGGAATTTGTAATTTTTTTTTTTTTTTACTATTTACAATCTCTAAATATTCTGTTTACAATCCATGTGTGGGTGTGCAGTCTCTTCTGCTACAACCAGGATAGAGATCACTTACCGCGTCTTGATAGAAACTACCCAAGACCTCTGATACCCAAGTTGGAAATCTTTAGTACAACTTCCTCTAATCAGCACAGAGCACAATAGAGTAGGTTGTTCTCCTCAATAATTCTTACTAGAATACACAGTGCTCCTTCAAGATCTCAACAGTGTCCTTGTACGTTGTGTTTAATGAAGATTGCACAGGGGAACTTCCCTCTAAATCCCTCTGAAATGACTAATTCCTATGTACAACTTTAAATGTGCCAAGAGAGGCACTGATCTTGCCTTCTTAGTTTTGCCCTAGGCAGAGATAAGCAATCTTTATTCTGCATAGGACTTCATTCCTGCAAACTTATCCACAGGAGATGATTCCAAATGCTGAAGTAAGACGGGGCAAGGTCAAAGCCCAAGTGAGTACAGCCCCTTGTTTCTCTTTTTCCTAGCATTCCGATCCTCCCAACATATTAGGGAAGAATTGCTTACAAAGGGCTTTTGAAACTAAGGTTACATGAAATTAGGCCAAGGGCCATGATCTAATCCTGATATTATCATTATTGCAGGATATAAAACTGGAATACAAAAGCTTATTCAGTAACATTAGGCCACATAATAGAGAAAAAAACAAGAAACAAGCTATGTGTAAGAACCGCTGTACTCAGTCCCCAATGAGTGCAACTCTCATTGAAATCAATGCGGATTCAGAGACAAGTAGATTTATTGAGAAAACAGTAGTACACAGCTCTAAGGCACAAAGAAACAGCTGGAACTAAATTCACAATGTGCTAAACCCCAATTTAAAGTCCTCTTGTTATCCCCTCCCCCGCTATCTTCGAAGCCTTCCTGTGCAGGTTGTCGGGGTTCTCAGATTTTCTTCGTTGCTATTCCCTTACGCATTCCTGAGAGTTCAGTAATTGCTCAGCAGCGCCTAGCAGTCCCCGCTCTGACCTTCTCCCCCCATCTGCTTGGAATGGCAGAACCACAGCAAACGAACTAGCAGTGCAAAGGAGTGGTCGCAAGGATTCTGACATGCCGCCCCTCCAGAAAGAGGAGCAGTTTTGGTCTTCATGGCACAAACCTGGAAAGAGACTACAGAACGGAAATAAAACATATATACAATTTCACCACACTTGTTATTTAGGTTTGTCAGGGTATTTTCTATAAAAGTTTCTGATCAACCATGATGCTTTGACATCGTTATCAGCCACCCACTCGCTCTGCGCCCCCGGGAAATGTTTTCATTGAATGAGGAATTGCCATCTCCCTCTATGCATTCTGACATCCAGAATCTCCTGCACTTCAAAGTGCTGCTCACCGTCAACCATCAGGGGCTGCAGTGGCTCTTGTGTGGGATGCCACTTGGGTGATTGTGATTCTTTGAAAGGTTTTAAGAGGCTGCAATGGAATATGGGATGAAACCTCTTGAGGGACTTAGGCAATTTGAGTCGGAACCTAACAGGATTAATAACTCTATTGGAAAGGGACTTACAAACTTGGGTCCTAATTTTTTTGATGGTTGCAATGTTTTAAGATACTTAGTTGACAAATACACCTTGTCCCCCACTTTCCACGGTTTCTCTGGCAAGTGCTTGCAATCGGCATACTTCTTTTAATCATCCTTGACATCTTGCAATGCCAATTTAACTATTGGCCATAGGTCTGTTAACTGCGTGACCCACTTATCTATCGAAAGTATGTGGGTGGTTTCCTGAGGAAACTGTGGGAAAGCTACAAAGTCCTGCTCCATAGCTACTTTGAACAGGGTATGTCTGGTGCTCTGATGCATTGCATTATGATAAGCAACTTCAGCAAATATGCCCAATTGTCTTGCTGGTAGTTTATGAAACATTTTAAATATTGCTGCAACACGGAGTTCAGTCGTTTGGTGGCTCCATCTGTCTGGGGATGGTGACTTGAACTCAGGGATTGGTTTGACCCAATTAGCCTAAAAATGCCCTCCAGAACTTTGAGGTAAGCTGTGCACCACGATCGCTAATTATCCGGTTCGGGGTCCCATGTAGACTATAAATGTGCTGTATGAACAATTCAGCTAGTTTGTTTGCTGTGGGGATGGAGGCACACGCCATGAAATGGGCTTGTTTTGAAAACAAATCAGTTACCACCCAAATCACCATCTTTTTCCTGCTCTCGGGTAGGTCGACAATGAAATCCATAGCAATTTCTTTCCAAGGCCTCTCCAGGTTTGCTACAGGTTGTAGGGGCCCTATTGGCTTCCCCTCTTGCCTCTTTGCCATAGTGCAGGTAGGACAACCGGTCACATACTTGGCTATGTCCTTCCTCATAGAGGGCCACCAGAATTGTTGGCATAAAAGGTGTAAAGTTTTCACAAACCCAAAGTGGCCTGCCATCTTACTGTCGTGGCCCCTTTCTAACACCAATTTTCTGGTTTCTGCCGGGACATATAATCTTCCACCCCTCCACCATGCTCCATCGTGGTTTTCCAAAGCTTCATTTTGTCAGAACCACTCGTCAGCTTGCAACTTGTGGTTTAGATCCTTTAATAGATCCTCCTCCAGTTTACATACTGGTTGTCTACTTTTTGCCCGGGTCATTACCATCAGCCCTGTCTGGGGGTCTGGTATAACGGTGGCAATCACTGTTTTCCTCTGGCTGTCATGCTGTGGCAACCTAGATAAGGCATCTGCTAAGAAGTTTTTTCCCCCAGTAGGTACTTTAATGGGAAATTAAATTGACTGAAGAATTACACCCACCTCACAAGTCTTGGCGATAGTTTCCTTGGCGATTTTAACACCTCTAGATTTTTGTGATCGGTCCAAACCTCAAATGGATGAGCCGCCCCCTCCAGTAGATGCTCCAATTTACCAACGCCCACCTCACAGCAAACATTTCCTTCTCCCATACTAACCAGCGTCTCTCAGCTTCAGTAAACTTCTGTGAAATGTAAGCACAATAGTGCAACACCCCACCTGCCGTCTTTTGAAGTAAAACCACCCCTATCGGCACATCTGAGGCGTCTGCTTGGATTATAAATGGCTTCTCTGGGTCAGGGTGCTTTAGAATCGGCTCAGCCGTAAAGAGTCCTTTTAATTGCTAAAAGGCCTTTTGGCACTCCTCAGTCCAATTCAACGGTGCCCCCAGTCTTTGGGCTTTCACTTTATTATCCTTCCTCTTTGTCTTTAATAGGTCTGTGAGTGGGAGGGTGATCTGAACAAAGTTTGGTATGAATTGGCAGTATAAATTCGCAAATCCCAAAAAGCTCTGCAACTGCCTACATGTTTTTGGTGGCTCCCATCCAACCACATCACACACTTTAGCAGGATCCATTTCCACTCCTCTACTGGATATTCAATATCCCAAATAATCAATTCGCTCCTAGCAGTGCAAAGGAGTGGTCACGAGGATTCTGATACTATTCAGAAGAGCTAAATGCCAAACTTGCCCATAACTTTGGGTACTCATCATGGATTCTCTCACTAGTCATCTAGCCTAATCAGATAGGCTTCTCTATGCTATTCTTGTATCCTGCAATAATGATAAAATCAGAAATAACAGGATGGGGAGCAACCTAATGATTTGCTACCATTACCTAATGATACAGAAGGGTATTGTTGTCACATCATTGGGACAACATTAGAACAGGACTACGATCCACATGGAATTACCACAAATTAGTCTATGCAGATCCTTGGTCTAAGAGTGCCATTGTTCTTCCCTCTCCAACAGCTATCAACTCCAGCACAAGAGTATTTCTGTTCTGTATTATCTACACTGCCAGTGCAGCTCTTCATGTTCATTTCTAGGCATCCACCACTAGCAAACGGATGGAGAAGGGAGGGTGCAAATTAATCCTGACCTTTTGAACTGACCTTTTAAACTATCCTCATTTAAGTCCTTCCTTCGATTTCAGTGAGGTGCTACTTCAGGCAAACTGGCTTAGGTGACAATGAATCTGTGACAGAATAAACACAGCAATTTATCCAGTCCCTTCACTGAATCTTACAGCAGTTGAGTAAGATTCTCTTTAGCAGCAGGAACAGGGAGGGCAGAAAGGCACACAAGGAAACCTCATTGTTCTCAAAAGAGAATTCTTCCGCACATTTCCTTCTTACCTCCAATAGCTGTGGAGATGATTCATTATTTGTGCTTTTGCTAGGCATGGGTGCTGGGTCTCCCAGCAGGACAATACAACTTGCTTCCTTTGAGCCTGCCGTCTTTATTACCTCTTCAAGGAAAAATAACATGTGGCTTCCCAGAGCTCCCAGTTATTACTTCATTATGAGATCCTAATGAGAGAGATGCCCCCAGAGGCTCCTAGCAAGATCACTGATAGAAAGGAGCAGCTGGGACTGCCCAGCAGTGTTGTAGTCATCTCCACCTGGGAGATTAGGAGGCCTTATTGGTGCCGCAGAGCAATCAGTCTAGGAGAGAGAGAATCGGCTATCCTAATTACTCATATAATTGGATGAGAAAGCAACAGAAATAGCTATCATACCACAAGGATTCCCAACTCATTTTTTTCTAGGATATTTCTTCAGATCAGTAATATCTATTATCTGGAACAGAGACCCAAAGCCAATTAGCAGGCAGAAAGCTTCCATCCAGAGGCAAGATAAAGATCAGTATCTATGATAATGGGTTTGGGATACCATTAACCTGGACTAGCAAATTTGGGCCACAAAAATCTGGATGAACACCAGATGGCAACAAAGAGGCATATGGAAAACTCTTAACTGCCCAAATTTATGCTGGCCATGTCTAGTAGCCCCACCTTAAGGGAATAATAGTTTAACAAAGTTGTTTGGTTCATATTTGTAAAGCCATTGCAGCTTTCACTAGTCTTGCACTCTCCAAAACGGTTGGACAAAGTTGTCAATTTTTTCAGATTAGTAGGGTCTTTGCAGGCTGAGAATTCTGGCAGTTGTTGTTCAATAAATTTGGAAAGAATTTGTTTTGGGAAAGCTGAAATATCCAGAATACTCTGTGGAGTGAGTAAGTAAGCAAGATCATAGTGAGTATACATGTTGCTTGCAAAATGTGGTATTTGCTTAATAAGCAATATATAGGGCCTATCTTCACCTCCTGCTAAACAAGCACCTAGCCCACCAAAGAGACACTTTAAATTCATTTTAGTTGTTCCAGTTTTGAAGTAGTGATTTCCCTCTTCTCCCAACACAAGTCTTGACACTGTATATGAACAATCTACACCTCATTGATGATGTTGTGATGATGAATCAGGGGCTAGGATGCTTTAAGTTGTTGCAAACACACACACACTCCTTGGACTGCTGGTCACTGGACCATTTTTGCTTGGGCTGCAGAAGCAATGTCCTCAATATGCTAGGGATGAAAGCTAAACAAGTGAGCAGAGACTGGTTCAGGATGCTGCCAGCAGGAGAATCATGAAGCACCCTAAAAGGCCTCCCAGCCTCCCTCAGGCTATGAAGACTTTGCACTGCTTCCTCCTCTGGGCTGCCAAGGCTAGGAGTCACACCTTGGACCGAACTTCTCCAGGTTCTTGCAAAGACTGGAGTGAGGTGGGGGTTGAGAAGAAGCAACATCAGAAGAACCTTTCAGTTTCTGCCTTTATGATTGCTAACACATTTTTCAAACAACCTATGCCTATGTAGTTGACATCACCAGGTGAAGCACACAGAAATCAAATTGGTAGAAGGAGATAGAAGGGTTGATTGTGGAACGGATCGTGAACTGTTCATGTACAAGTTCCAAGTCAGGTTAAAATGGAAGAACTAAGCCAAGCAGTATTCACAATATGATGTTAAACATATATCTGCCATTTTCAAGGAGAACATCAGAAATCACTCTGAACCTCACTGATAAGGAACCAGAGGAACTTTGTGAATGAAATCCACAAAGTTAAGGATAAATATGAAAAGAGACTGCCAAAGACCAAGAAACAGAAGGAAGCAAACTGGATGTCAGAACAGAAATTGTCAAGGACAGAAAAGAAAGCCAAAGCCCAGAAAGAAAGATCTTTGGAAGGAGCTTAATGAAGAATTTCAGAAAACCATTAGAAGAGATAAGAAGCAATATTACACTGAGGATGGAAACAAGGCAAGAAAAGTTTTCCAAAAGAATTCTGAACTCAG